CTAAGTTAGCAACCCACGCACTCCTCTAGGGGACGAAACGTATGTCAAAATTGTAAAAAAAAAAAAGCTGGCCACCAGGCAACAGTGTTTAGAGCGTTAAAAAACTGTCAGCACTTGTCAAAGTAAAACTTGAAAAGTTGCCACCTAGGTGGGTACAGAACCGTCTGGGTGGGTGCAGCTTAACTAAAAGGTGGCAGAAAAGACAGGAAAACATACCGGGTTGCTGATAAGCGTATGAAATTGATTGTGGCGGCTGCTGATTATGCGGCGGCATCATTTGCGTAGCAACGTAGTTACCCTGTTGACCAGGATGTCCCAATTGTCCACCCTAAACATTAAACGCTACACCTTCTGCGAGGGGGAAAAAACCATTTTTCGAAAACAGTCATTTTTCAGAAAAAAAGTATCGCGAGCAAATCAACATGAATACCCAAAACCACTACTCGGACAATCAATCTATGCAGGAATCCAAGACACTGGTGATCCTTTCTAATCTGCTCTTTTTCTAATTATAATTCCACTTTTTCTAATATGAAAAGATTAATTCCCCAAAAACCGGTTACTGTTTACCGTTCGTTAACAATTACTACTTTGCAAACAGTCCAAAAACACAAAATTTTGCAAAATAATGTCGTATATTTCTTTCCTAACTTTTTACTTGTTTTCTTTTTTTTTTTAAAATTACTAAAATCAGTCGGTATTTGAAACAAAGTGGCTTTGTTTAAGTCACATCAAAGACATCTCAAAAAGACTAAAGTCTTGTCTAGTGCTTCTGATGAGACAACCATTCAGCTGGTATACCCTTCTGGAGGCAAAGCAAACCAGCATTTTGTTCGTTAAAAAAAAACATCACATGGTCCTGCGTGCAAGCCTCGTCATACTTGGGGGCTAATTTCGGATTTGTTAGGCCCTGCGTAAGCAGAATACAACACCCTTTTGATTGCTTTCAGTTTCCCAGCTCTTCTTGCTCCCGAGATAGTAATTTTTCCCGCCAAAACTTTCACGGCAACACGTAAATTTGCCCGAAGCTGCATCGTTCAAGCTAGAGCTGATAGGTTTTTCTTTGCCAATTTATGTCTAAGTTCAAAAAAAAATTCACCGGTTGCATAGGCATATCGGTGTGAGCGCCTGGCCCGTACATTTGAGGGCCTGAAGCTCGCAGGCCACGTGGCCCAACCGAAAGCCCAGCGTTCGGGGCACAATTTGCTGGCGTCATCATTGTTGCCACACTGGTTGCCGGACTCCTGCAACAGCTTTTAGCTCAAACCGTCTCCTTAGTAATACCTTAATGATCAGCAACCTCATTGCCGTTAAGAGAATGTCATCTGCATATAACACAAGTTGCCAGACATAACACTTCTCATTACTACTTATGGAAGGACTGCTTTTTAAATGGTTTGATTTTTGGTCTCCGGCTTGGAAAAGTTGTCAGTTGCGTAAAGGAAGACCA